ATTTAGTTGAGACAAGCACTGTCTCGATATCACAATTTAATTGGACAAAAAATTTGGGACCTGTTTTTTTTGACGAAGTATTGTAACTCATAAAAAATTGCTCATTTTTAAAAGAAGTCGAAGACGTTGATGTTTCCGTGCTCAGCTGTGAAAACTGGAAAATAATTGATGAGAAAATCAAGTTTACGTGAGACAATACTTTTCAAACTTTTTGAGATCACACTACAATTAACTTTTTTCGAACACAGACCGTCACCAATCAGAAATGAACGAAAAACTGCAATATCAAAGTGCAGCAAGTAACAGTGAGATTTAGAAACTCATTTCACTATACGCCGGCCCGAGAGTTCCAGCACTAATGACAAGTACAAAACACAATTTTTCCATTTGCTAGAAGACATGCCAAAAAATTGAAAGCAAAAAGCGAGCCCAGTATGCAGTCAAACCGCGTTATGTGAATTTGAAAACCCCAATATTCAGAAGTAGCCCAATATTCGGGATAATCCTGAAAACGAGCGTGCACACCAAAAATGCATCTTCATTCACCTTCTTGAAGATGATCCGTCAATTTTGGATAATAATAATGATACTAATAATGTGACTTCTTGGCCCAAGCTAAAAGCTGGAACCGAAGGGCGCGTTGCCCAAAACAAAGATAATACATAGCCACATGTCACGATCCAGAAACAAACAAACATCCCCAATTTTAAGATCTCCATTTCCAATCTCGCACGTCAGAACAAGTATGCCAAGTTGAATTACTAGCAGCTGGTTTTGAGCTACTGGAGCAATCCTGGGTCTGCAGTTGAAACTTGTTGAAAAATAAGTTGATTTTTTGTCGGTTATATTGATTTCATCCCAATATTTGTCGACTTACTAGCTGGGTGTTATTTTTTTTTTACTTTCGGTTGTTTCATTCAGTACTGTTTTTCCTAGTTTTCAGGTGGGTAATTATAGTTTTTGATTTCTGTGTATATACACGACAAACTTACTGTTAGAAAATGAAAAAAAAATTGAAATGAAAAAAGTTCCATAATTTTTTTTCGAATGCATGGCTTCTGGTAATTTTTTATCTTAAAGTGCGTAGAATCAGTTTCTTTTTCGTTATCGGGTTGAGCAAGATTATTTAAAATCAATTCAAACTGATGGGATGGCATTTGTTTAACTTTGTGAAAAACATTGATAAAATTTATTATGTTTCCGGAAGATAAGGTTTTTTTTCAATTTTCTATTGACTGCTTTTGTCACAAAAGAACGCGGCGAGTTTTTTCTTTCTCCATTTCTTTCTTTGTTTCTCTCTTTCTTTTTTTACGTTAGTCGTTTTTTATATGCGTTGGTGTATTGTAGCTATCTTAACGTTGCGTACTATTCGCATATTTCTGCCAGTTCTTTTTTGGGGCAATACAAGTTGTGTTTTTTTTTTGTGGCATTTCAAGGGTTTTCTATTGGAATTTTTTGAAATATTTGCATTGGTTGGTAAATTTTTGCAGTTTTTTCTTTCAGTATGATCATTTTTTTCTTCCAGCATGTCCATTTGTTCCTGTAAGATATGCAGATTGGTTGGGTGCAAAAATTTAAGCAATGTCTCTGAGTGCATTTGGATATCTATTTTTTGACCAATTTTTTTTCTTATCGTTTCCATCTACTGGTTTTGTGAAAAAAAGAAATGGATTTCGTCTAGCCCGAATCTTTTTTCTGTAATAGGTTTTGCGATCAGTCTGGCAAGAAAATTTTCATTGAACTTTGTTAGCCTACAACAGTTCATTCAATTTGTTTTGTACTTTTCTTTTGAGACATTAATTTGATTTTTGGCTTTTTGATGTATCGTAAGTGGTGCGTAGCTCTGATTCACCTCTGTGTTGATTTTGTAAGGTTTAGTTGTTGACGTTGAGATTCTGACGTTTTCAGGGTTGTTTATGCACAGACGTCGAAGCTTCTTGGTAACACTGTTTGCGGTATAAAAAAAACAACACAGCAAAATTTTACAACACCCTTTCAGCTGCAACTTAAAATATAAATTCAATAAAATTTTTTGCTAAAACATCCCCCACATGCCATATTTAGTACAAAGTAATAGATTTTGCTCCTTTTAAGAAATCAATTATGGCATTGAAGCTTCCTTAAACCAATTTGGAACGATTTCTAAGACGGATTAAATCTCCGCTTACGCTTTAATAGCGCGCGAAATATATCGCGCGTTAATTGTCCCAAATTGGCCAAAATGGCCAAAATGGCAATGCTCAAACCCCCATAATTTATTGAAAAACAATCACAGGTGAAATGTTTTTTCAAATTTAAGCTCAAGACAAAAATAGCTTTCCAGTGATAGAAAAAAATTCTGTCAAAAATGGCTAGTCAGAAAGTCAAAATTTGTCTGAAGAAAAAAAAACCCAGCCGAGCACAAAGACTCCGTTACTTTCGTTACAAAAGTCGGAACAAAAAAAGCAACCATTTTTCGCTATTGGAAACCGCATGTGTCTGATCAGAAGTTCATGTCTGCTTTTGGGAAAACTTCACGCGATTATCAAAGTAAACTTGAGCAACCTTTTGTCAGTTATAGTCCTAGCTCTTTTTTTGAAGTATTTACAGTAAGCGTTTTAAGCGTATCATACAAGGTCCTATTTTATAACTCAGTCGCTACTCTTATCTCTCAATTTACGAGTGAGTTTCTTGGGAATACAGTGCTGATTTAAATTATCCGGACAAAACGAACAAAACTTGAGTTTTCAAACGCGTTTTTCTCTAATTGGGTTAAGATTAGACAAAAAGTGGAGAAAACAAAAGTTGCTTAGAATTTCACCAGAACTAATATGGTGCCATTTGTGTCCGAAATTCTCAACAAAAATTTTACCCCAAAAATGGGTCATTTTTTTTTTCTTCAATTTATCAAGAATTACGCTGAAACTACTTTTTAAATTGATAAAAAAATATATATCACAGGAAGCCTCTTTTGCAGTTCAACAAAGTTTAAGAAGGGTTAAATCTCCAAAAACCAGGATAAGAGAAAAAAATTTTATTTTGATAATCAATGAATGTGATTTTTACTATATAAAAAACAGAATCTCTGTTTATAAAAAAATGTTTAAAAAATTTGCGCAAATTTTTGGAGATTTGACCCCTCTTAAACTTTGTTGAACTGAGCAAGAGGCTTCCTGTGAATTTGAAAAAAAAAAGAAAATGAAATAACAAAAAAAAACAAAGGGAGCGTCCTTGTTGCGGAATCCGCTTACAATTCACAAAAAGCACAGTTTGGCCTCGTAATGGAAGATTTAAAAAATATGATATGTTGCATATTAGTTACTCGAGCAATTGAAGAAGAGTAATAAGAGTTTTAGCACGGCCAAAGAGGAGTGCTGAGGTGATATAAGTAGGAAACTGTTGGATGCAAAGATAAAAAAAGAGAAACTTAAGAAGAATTGTGTTCAAACAACGCATAGCTCTTCAAACATAACTTTTTACGCTGGGCAGTTTCCAGCTTCAGGTTTATTGATGAAAAAGCTTTTTGAATTTTGTTTTTTGCTCTTACATTCCCTAACTTAGCAATATTAAACTACTTTTTATTATCTTTTGGTTAAGAACATTGATAATGGGGAGGAATTTTGTCTTAGTATGTAATTTAGTTTTTTTTCACTTTTTGTTGTCCTTCCAGAATCAGAGACTTTAAACAATCAACGGAATGCGTTAAATGATTTGAAACTGCAACAAAAATTTTTCAGTATCGAAAAGAAAACAAATGTGAAGTTTTTGATTTCTAGTCTAGTTTCGAGCAAGTACAGCGAGCGATTACCATTTGTCTTATGAACACCGGTCTAGTCGGCTAAAAACACTCGGCTAATAAACGAGCGGTTTTTGAGCGGTTTTTTAAGCAAGATTTGAGCGGTTTGAGCGGTTTTGTCAAAAAAAACCGCCCAAACCGCTCAAACCGCTCAAAACTTGCTGGAAAACCGCTCAAACCGCTCATATCTTGAGCAGTTTTTGAGCGGAATCTCGACCCGGGTACTCCTTTTTTTCTTTTCGCTTTTATTGTCTTACATCAGTGTGGTCGAAATATTTTGTGCTGTCACAGCAGCCGGCTATCCTTGTTATTTCTTGGCGCCTTTGAAAACAATTTTTTTTTCACGCAAATAAAAGAATTAAACCTACTTCGACACCCCTTTAGAAAAAAAAACAGAAATAAACTTTGACGAAAAACACAAAATTACTGTTTTTTTTTATTTTTGTCCAAGTTTACTGCCAGTTTTTTTTTCTAAAGAGGGGTTTTGGAATGAAATGAAACAATACAAAGAATAAAGAATTTAAAAAGTTCTGATCGAATTGTCTACTTTAGTCGCAAATATTCAGACAATTTTTTCCAGAGGGGCAGTTTTTTTTTCATTTCTTATTTCTTTCTGAAATCGAGTCGCAAAAAGGGCTCCATTACAATACCACGCTTGACCCTCATTTGAAGAGAAAAACCATATCTAGCACAAATATCCTTCTCATTTATACGGTTGACCAAATTTTTTTTAGGTTGGCCAAATTTATTTTCCGAGCTCTCCCAAAGCATTACAGAGACCCTGTTTTGGCTAACATTTCTGTACCGTTGGCAAAATTTTGAAAAAAAAACAAGCCGAAAGAGGCATTTTTCGACCAGAAAAAAGTTGTCCAAAAAATTGCGTTTTTTGGCGCTCCCCCTCAAAATTAGAATATATTGGCGCCAAAGGCGCCTTTACAAAAAATTTAGGGTCCGTCACCAAAATTGGATATCTAAAATTAGTACAAAGGGAGGACCCCTTGGGTCGACCGGGGGTCGAATCCCTGAGGAGGGCGTCCGCCCCCCCCCCCCCCCCCCTCGAGTCTGCCCCTGGATGTTGCGTGACGCTTTTTCTTAGACAATCTACAACAGGTTATTGTAGTAGTTGCATGAGGAAATAAATCTGATAGGAAACTCGTACATTCTGCTCTGCTTGTTGCTAACTTATCGTCTGGTATGTCTATTTGTATATTTGTTATAGTCAAGTTTCATTGTCCAAATGTCAAGTGACAAAGACTTCGTGCGGAACAATTTGCGTCTGAAAAACGGCAGCCGACAGCAACCGAAATCTCAATCAATGCCTTATGGTAAGTACCGCTGATGCGCGGTTTATCCATTCACCATTCTTTCAATTGTGTAAGTGCTTTTACCAGCCACGCCATTTTTTATTCCACTTCTAATTTCAGGATTGCCATATAAATTTTTCGACACATTTGTTTTATACGACTCAGTTTTTTTGTTTTCATTTTTGGTTTATTGATTAACTGTCAAGATTTTCAATCAAATTTCAAAGAACGTGTCATCCGATGGATTGGCAAAGTTAGATGCATTTAGATGTATGTGTTTATAGCTCACGACGTTGAGCAGGTCACTTGACCTTGTGCGATTATGAAAGCGCAACATCATGTTATGATAGTTAGAATTTAAATAAAGACTTTCAGAACAAGTTGTTTTCTTTGAGTTCTCAATCTAACCTTATTTGTTACTTACCAATCCGCTCGGATTTGATATTGATAGGTATCATACATTGCGGTATAACGTGGCGCAGCCAACAAGATTTATAAAAAAAAACACTTAGCGTCAATCCATTTTGGGAAAGAGCCTCAACGGAGCCGCCATTAGAATGGTGCAAGTGAACCGCGATAGTCGAAACAGCAGTGTTTGAGAAACAAGGGATAGAAGTTCGAAATCTATTACGAGACAAACCTGAATTTTGGAAATTTAGGAAAACAGATTCTTAAAAGCCCGCGAAAAAGGCGTATCGTGTAATTCAGTGACATGGGTCGAAGCGGATGCAAAAGTGAGAAGTTATTGATTTCTTTGCTTAGGCACAGAAGGTCAAAGGCAAGTACAGCGAAAACGGCCAGGGTTAGACATACAAACAAAAACGACCAAAAATCTCATGCGAGTGTTGGAGGATACTTTTGTCAGAAAAAGAGTTATCGCCTTCGAACGATACAATTTTCTTTGTCGTAAACAAAAGAAAATGAATCGCTAGAGCAGTTTCATGCTGACTTTAAAAGAGTTCACATCAAGAGCAGATTGCGGGGACCGCGAAGACGACTTGGTCAGGGACATGTTCTCCAACCGCACATATGCATAACGATAAGATCGCAGAAGAGCTGCTGGCAGAAACCCGTTCACCACAGGATGCCTATGAATACACTATCCGAAGAAAAAAGGTATCGAGCATAGTAAAACTATGAAATCACTTCCATTCGGAAGTCAACATCTACTGCCATAAAGCAAAAGCCTTTGGGTTACATACAATCGTGAGGCCGGTGCGGTAGGCAAACCACAACAACAATAGAGGAAGATACCTAGGAGGGCGTCAAAACTACCCACGCAGAAATCAAAGCAGGAATTTTCTAAACCAAAACAACATGCATTAAAAACAATGCTACAATTGTAGGAAAACATTTGGTCCAAAAATTTTTAAACATGTCGGGCAAAAGTTCAAATATGTGCTAAATGCGCAAAACGGGGACATTTTGCGAAAGTATGCCAACCGGCAAACGTCAATTTCTTACCAATTAACAGCGAAGAGCAACCAAAGGAAGAAGACGACCTTACTCAGGGTGCAGAAGAAAATGACCCAGTCGCAAATTCACATTACCAAACGATTCGGAAGAATTACAAAGAGACAACTTATCCGTGATTGCAATCTCTGAATCATTTGAAGTCAAAATGTCTGCACAAATAACTGACGAAGATTTAAATTGACACATAGTAAAACTCAAGACGAAATCAGAACCCATCTTTGCTATCACCAATTCTGGCAGCCCAATGTTGTTTCTAAACGACACAACAGCACGTCGACTGCAATAAAACGATACTTCAACAGTTTTCAAATTTATCCTCCCGGAGGTTGCTGCACAAAATTTAGCTTGCTACAATAGAAAACTCATTATACCGAAAAGAACGGCTGATTGTCGCACTCCAATCCGAGTAATGGACCATTCAATCAGCCCCATTCATCGTGTTTGACTATCAAAAAGCAAACATAATGGATCAAAATTTACTACCACAAATTGGGATAAGATTGTACAGAAATAACCAAAACAATATTAACTGCTCAATATAAACGAAGAGGGAAAATCAAACATGGAAATAAAAGAGTGGGTGAAAGAAAATTTTACGCAACTATGCATCAGAATCGGCAAAACAACAAAACTCGTGGGTAAAACACAGTTTATCCCAAACGCGATTCCGATCCAACAAAAGGGATCAGTACGCCTTCAAAAAAGAGTCGAAAACGAATTCAACCAACTGATAGATCAGAAACCTATTGTGAAACTGGACAAACGCTCGGACAAATCTTTCATTAGTCCAATCGTTATTACCGTTTAAAAAGATCAAACGGTGAAAGTGGCGTTAGATTCGAAGAAAAGTAACAAATTCTTTCATAAAAACAAATATCAAATGCTGAAAATAGAATTGCTTTTAAACAACATTGCGCAAACGATAAAATCAAACTCAAAATTGCAACCACTCTTCTCATCACTTGATTTGCGGTACGCTTACTCGCAAATCCCACTTACTGGTTTCTACGGCCTCACGTATATGCCTGCATAACCAAAAAGCAATCGACCTCACGCTAACAAATTGCAAAAATACATACGCATATCTAGATGATATACTGATAGTAACCAAAGGATCATTAAAGGTACACAAAAGCAAACTACAGTAAGTATTACAAAAGCTTGATGAGGAAAATTGCGCCATCTCCATAAACAAATGTAAATTCGCGTGCAAAAAAATGAATGGCTGAGGCTACAGTATAGATAGTGAAGGCACAGCACTATTGATTAGAACAACAGAGGCCATAGAAAAACTAGCTCCACCGCCAACATTCAAACACTGAAAATTTTTTAGGCTCAAAACATCATCTCACAAGATGCATCCCACATCTGGCATAAACCGCTGCGGCACTGCGTCCTCTGCTAAAAAACACAGATAAAATTAAAACAACAGATTGGAAATCGGGATAATTAACAAGATTAAAAAATCAGTTTCAGAAATCACGCAAAATAAAAACACTTCGTTCAAAACCTCGAATCCAGCGTGGTTTGCGACGCATCAACTTTTGGTTTAGGCGCAATACTGGAACAGAACATATCAGAAGCTTGAATGGCAATCGCGTACGCGTCAAGTTTTTAAAATTCTCTGGATGAAAAATACTCAGTAAACAAACCTGAGCTCTTGGGGGTCTTACGAGCAATAGAACACTTCAAAAACAACTTGTATGGGAAAAACTTGCCGTCAACACAGACCACCAGGCTTTAGTCAATGCAACAAAAGCAAGCGAGAGATCAAAAACTAGTCAAAGTAGACTTACAAGGTGTTCAAAGTAGACTTGCAAGCGTAAGCAACAACGATAGAAGCAGGACCAGCCAACGCACGGGAAAAAGGCAAGGAGACTCCGATCGGGAAGAGACGGTTTCCGATCCGCGCTGCTACAGACGAAAACTGTTAGAGGAACTGAAAATCACGCAATCAACAGCATTTGCATCACACCAGCCACAATCAAGGACGCCAGAGAAAACATCAAACAAGCAACAGAGAAAAAAAGCATCAGCATTCCCAAAAATCGTTTTCAAGAACAACAGTGCTAGCCAAGCAAAATTTAGTCAAGATCCAAGTATGGCAGCAAAAAACAACAGTAATTGCGCCTCACAAACAGATGCAGACCTCACTAAGCCGACATCTTCCACCCAAATTGAATCAACAAACCAAGAAAAACACACACAAACAGAACTATCAATGGAGGTAAAGGAAATTTACGAGTAATGCGTGAGCCGCGAGGACCCAACAACAGCTAGAAAAGAGGAAACCCATCCAAACGTGGAACCAGCCACAATGACATCAATGCGTGCATGGGAACAACAACAACAACAACAAACCCAACTGGAAGTCATGCACGAAAGGATAACAGAGGTGCTATTAGCTACAGTCAACCAGGAAACTAACACGGAATTGAGGAGGTCACCCCACTCTACAGAAAAAGCATACAGAAAGTTTTGGGAATCAATTTCATTGCCGCCGCAACCCCAAAAGACCGGCATATGACTCGTCAACTTCCTAAAAAGACGAGACTGGGAAGCCTTGAAATTGTAATTTGGACATTATTGGTACAACATACGGCACCGTCTGCACGTACAAGACGATTGTCTGCTCATCGACGAGCGGATCGTCCTCCCCACACAGTGCTCAATAGTCTACATCTTTTACAACCCGGATCGACGGCATTGCTAAACCTCTGCCAACACATCTGGTTTACTCACATAGCAAATGGCACAAGGATAACGTCAATATTCTGAACAAGGTAAAACTTGAAACCAGCAAGAGGCAAACAATTCTCATTCCAAATGGATCTTGTCGTTGAACATGTCGTTGGACCTGTTGTTGAACCAAGAGGCACAGTTAGATTTTGCAGAACCCCTCGCGGACGAATTAGGAAAGACGCAAACATACTAGTTGCTATAGTTATGTGGTCAAAATTGCCAATGGCTAAGGTAGTTTCAAACACGACAGCGGACGTCGCATTGAAATTTATTCAACGCTATATATCAAATAACGGAGTACCACGCAAACTAAGATGCGAACATGGACAAACATTTCGAGCCAAAAAATTTCATTTTTTTTGCAAATCAAAACACATAAAACAACTATTTGCACCAATACACGACCACAGATCGATAGAGATAGTTGAAAGCTTCATAGAAAACTTAAGGAATAAGTCGGACTAATGAGTATCGACAAAAACAACACTCCGCTTATATTACCCTCGGACGTCGCGGAACACTACGCATCAAAACACTACGCATAACTCCACACGGAATAACAAAAATAACACCATTAGAAGCTCACTTGGGTAGAAAGGCCAATACACCACTTACAATAGCAACCAGTAGTTCACCTGACAACTTATGCTGGGAAAACGCCAAGCACGCCTGTTTATATCGGAAAAACTTGATGCAGCCTCTAATTCCAGCGGACATAATGCACAATCTCCAAAAGTGATCAGAGGACGAAGTCACGATAAAACGAAGAATCCCGGAGCCTACGGTCATCCAAACCGATACAG